GCAGAGGGGTGCAGGCCAGGCAGCCGGCGCGTGCAGCTGGGTGCGGGCAGGTTTGGGTGGGAGGGAAGGCTGCTGCTGCGTTGCCAGGCGCAGGCTGCGGACGGGTGACTCGGGCAAGGAGCACCTTGCGATGCCCTCGTGCGTGCAGCAGCGCCGAGGCTCACTCTGCCGTACCCACAGACCCGCGTTACAATCCCAGCTTGGACTGCCCCGACCTCATGCCCCATGTTGGCTTTTCACTGCAGGCTGAGCACGGTGAAAAGATTCAGCAGAGTTGGTATCTGCAGCCTCGACTCAAACCTTTGGCCTCTGCCCTGCTGAAGGAGAGAGGACAGCTTGGGATATGCACCCCGGTTCCTTTGTTAGTGGCCATTTTCTCACTGCTGGGGCCTTCCTGCCCAATGTGGGGCTGAGACCAGTGCTAGGGGCTGTGCTGCCTGCACACCACCAACCCCCGCAGCATCTGCTCCTGCCTGAGGACCCGACTGGGCTCCAGATCTCCTCGGTGACACTGAGGCAGACTGAGAGCACACCAATGCATCCCTCTCCTTCCCTTAGCCCCCCCGATCTCAGCCTTGAAGCAAAGTACCAGGTCCCAGTTATTGGCAGAATGGAGCTCCAGGCAGCCAGAGGATTTTCCAAATCCCAGACACCCATTTGGCTGGACCACCCCAGCCTGTCAGGCTCGTGCCACCCTGCTCCAGTGTGACAGCACCGCCAAGCTCTGGGCTCTGAGCAGAAGGGACGTGCTGCTGTTCCTCAGGGATCCGCACCAGGGTCAGATCTTGCCCAGCACATTCTGTGGTGTTTAAACCTAAGAGTTTTCCAGGTACCATCCTTCCAAGCGCTAGGCACATCATCAGGTTATCACAGACTGCCAATGAATAGTAGGGATCTCGGCAGCACGTGCTTCATCCTGTCTCATCCCTGCGCTGGGTGCCCGGGGACGGCGGTTGGCAGGCTGCAGCCTCGTGGCTCTAGATGAAAGGTGCCTCTGAAGTTCTTCAAAGCGATTTGGTAGAAAGTGGCAATGCATCCTCTCCAGACGTGGGCATCATGTCGCACCCCCGGGCTTGCAGCGCCCACGCTTTGGCAGTTTCAAAGCCTGGCATTGTCCCTGCTTTCGGGTTTGAACCCCGAGGTGTGACACTGGGAGGATGTCTGTTACTTGCTTTCTTGCTGTGTGGCTGGCAGCTGAGACTTTGAAGCTGGTTAGCAAGTGATGGGTGATGACATCTGACAGGCAAAGCTGATGGCAGTCGGTGTTTTCTAGCAGTTGCATTTATCTGGCAGGGCAGAAATACCCTGTGCTGCAACTGATTTCTTTACTGTGCCAATGGAGGAGAATAAAGCAGGATTAAAGGACTCGCTGTAATCCTGCTTATGTAATTAAAAAAAAAAGGAATCCTGACTTCCAATAAAGAAACTTCATAAATACCTGAGTTTATGTTGGAGCATAAAGTAGTTTGTCAGCATCAAAACTGTGGCTGTCAGCATGGAGGAATTTTATTCTTCCTGGCAAGGACTTACGTGTCGCTGACAGCATGTCCTAGGCTGTTGGGAGCTACAAGAACAAGCAGTTAGTTCCAGCCCGTTTCTTTAGCTGCGTGAAGTGTGTCAGTCCAGCCTTAGCACGCCTGGGAGAAGTCAGTGTTTGGTTTTGAGAACCACTCGTGCTGCTGTCGCCCTTCAGTTGCTCCGTCCTGTCGCAAGCCCGCTGTGGGGCTCTGTGAAGTAGTCGTTCGGGTGAGAAACCCCCTGTTCTCGCCTGACTCGAGGGCTGTTTGCCGCATATCCTGTAACTCATCTGATAGGCTTTGGAGCAGCGTCTTTGTGGGAAGTCGCAGGTACGGTGTGGTAAGTTGTGTTTCCGCTGCTGGCTGTTACAGAACCGCCTTCACGGGACTCGGGGACCTTTGTAGTAAGGCTCTGCTTGCTCGTATGTCCGACGGAGTTGTTATGCTCATCAGAAGGCTGCGTCTGTAACCGGGTTGTGACGTGTGGGCTGCCTGGCAGAGGTTGCCCAGTCTTTCTGGATAATGTGTGGAGACCCTGGCGAATGGTGGCTCCAAAAGCAGGTGCAGATGCTGAGCGGCTCTGCTCGGGCGGCAGCAAGGCTGCACAGGCTCGGGTTGAGCATTAGGAAGTTTTCCGCAGGAGGGTGACAGGTCTCCAGAGGGCTGGTGAATCTCCGTCTTGAATGCTGGAAGATCAGGCTGGACAACGCCAGGCCTGACCCTTTCAAGGCCTGGCAGCAGTCCTGCTGCAAGAGGGAGGTGGGACTAGAGATCCCTTCCACCACCCCGCTGTCGTTCTCTGATTGTCCTCGTGTTTCTTGCAGGAAGAAGAAGGTGAGGATGCAGATATCTCTTCTGGTCCCTCAGTCATTAGCCACAAGATGCCTTCCGCCCAAGCCTTTCATCACTTCGCTCCTCGTTACTCTGAGATGGGCTGCGCTGGGATGCAGATGAGAGATGCCCATGAAGAAAACCCAGAAAGCATCCTTGATGAACATGTCCAGCGTGTGATGAAAACACCAGGCTGCCAGTCTCCAGGACCTGGCCGCCACTCTCCTAAACCGCGGTCCCCGGAAAGTGGCCACTTAGGAAAGCTGTCAGGGACACTTGGAACAATTCCTCCAGGGCATGGCAAACACGCAACAAAATCAGGAATGAAACTGGATGCAGCTAACTTATACCACCATAAACACGTCTACCACCACATCCATCACCACAGCATGATGAAACCAAAAGAGCAGATCGAGGCCGAGGCCACACAGCGAGTGCAGAACAGCTTTGCTTGGAATGTAGATTCACATAACTATGCAACAAAGTCACGAAACTACACTGAAAACTTGGGCATGGGCCCTGTCCCCATGGACACTTTAGGCTACAGGTGAGTCAAGGCAACACCCCACGGGAGTCTCCAGAGCTGTGGCTTCTCTAAGCTCTTTCATAAATGGGCTGTAGCGTGCCAGTGAAACAGGGTGGTTGAACCACGTTTTCTTGTGAAAGCCTGTGCTGGGACATGGTTTAAGGGCCTCCCACAGCTCTTCCTCTTCAGAAATGGGTATGACCCTCAATAACCCTTGAAGACCCCTTTTCACCTCATCACCCTCTAGCCAGGATTTTTAATAGCCTTGGTTATAAAGCAGTTATTCTGCTCTTTAAAGCAGTGGAGATGCTTAGAAATTGCAGGTGCTGGTTTACTTCGCCATGCATCCGGAGTTGCTGAGTACAGGAGGGGGTCTGGGTGACAGAAACCGGTCTCCTAAGGTGTTTATGAGGGCCAACAAAGCCCTCCTGTAAGGCCTAACCCATTCACCAGAAGGGCTCCTAGCAAAGCAGTGGATGCTGTAGTGCTGCTGTAGCATCTTGTCCCAAGGGGACGTTCTCTGGGGCAGGGGACCCTCTGCCCAGGAAAGACGTACTGCTGTCTTACGGACTTTTGTCCATCTTCCTTGGCCGTTTGAATTCCTCCATCCCCTCCATGCTGAGGGGAGCGGATGCGGCTCCTTCCCCACTGTGGGTTTTGCCAGTCCTGTTCCCAAATGACGGCAAAGGTGAGAGCAGAGCTCGGGGCTGCCTGGGATAATAAATGGTGCTGGAGCAGCCGCAGGGCAGAGCCTGAGCTCAGCTGGCTCCCCGGGGCTGTGGTTTTGGGGTGATGCTTTGTGGAGTACCAGGGGTGAGATATTTAGTGAAGGCAGGTGGCTGGGTCTGCAGCAGGATCAGCTTTCTGGGGTGGCAGGAAGGAGGCAGAGCACAGAGGCAACTGAAGCAAACTGCTCTCCAGGCAGTTTTTCTGGGAGAAGCACTTAAATTTGCCCTGTTTCTTCAGTTGTTGCTTCAGCAGAGCATGAGCATGGCCTTGCTGGGTCAACCCAAATCCCCATCTAGACCCAGGACCCTCTCTAGCACCAACTGCAGCACATATTTAAGGGGAATTTAAGAGGGCAAATTCAGAGCTGTCCTTCCTCTGGCACAAACTCCCAGTTACTGACAGTCCCTGGGTTAGGAGCTTCTCAAGACATGAGTTTTCATCCAACACCCTTGTTTGGCAGCCAGCAGTCTCTTGCAGTTTGTCTGGCTCTGTTCAGCCCAGCCAGGCTGCCGTCCCCCTTCCCCTCGTCTCTGTCTGCAGGATGGTTGCAACCTGCAGCAAAAGGCGCTTTTTTTGTTGACACTGAACCTGCTACTGGAGAATTTCATTTGACACCTGCTAGTGCTCATGTGGAGAGAAGCAGAGAAGCAGCTGTCAGTTTGCTCTGCCTTTGTAGATCTTCAGTACCCCCTTTCCAGTTGTTTCGCCCCAGAAAATCAGCAAAGCTGTTTGAGGGCCTGTTGCTCCTCTGTGGTGTTACGGCTGGGTCCTGTGTGTGTTAGCGAGCGCGCGGAAGCAGGGAGGTCCTGGGGGGTAAAGTGGGTGGGTGATGAGGACGGGGAGTGTCCCATGGAATTACAGGCTGTGGCAATGACAGGCCAACACGGGTGAATTCTGCGTTGCCTCCTGCGCATGGGGCTGCCCGGCTGAGTACGTGGGCATGGATGTGGGATGGGAGCGGGGGCTTTCTGTGGGAGCCTTTGCTGCAGCCGTAAGCAGAGCCAGAGTTCTTCTGTCTGGCCGCCATGTTTGGGCTTCCCAGCACACGAGAGCCTGCGGAAGACAGTCCCCCTGACAGGGTCTGGCGGATTGCAGCACCAGGGTGATCCTCCTCGGAGCAAAGAGACGGGGCGTTAACACAACCCTTCGTGTGCAGGGCTTTTTGCCACATTGCCGTCACAATGTCATGGCCACGTTGCCGTTCCATCACCATTTGGCCAGAGGAGAAGCTCCCTTTCCCCCCGGGGGGGTGGACAGGGCAGCCTGCTCAGCCTAGGTATGGCCAGTCTTGCTTTTAGCCTCAACTGCAGGACAGTCGCTTTGAGCTGTGGTAGGGCCAGGGGGCTGTGGGAGAAGGCAGGACCTCGTCTGCACCGGACCCTGGCAGGGCTGGCTATGTCTGGAGATGGACATGTCCATCCTCCGCTGCGCTGGATGCGGTCGTTTGGCTTAGGCAAAGCACTGATGTCTCAAGCTTTGTTCTTGCAGTGGGAAAGCAAGTCTGCTCTCAAAAAGAAACGTTAAGAAGACCGATTCAGGGAAAAGTGATGGTGCCAACTATGAGATGCCAGGATCTCCTGAAGACGTGGAGAGAAACCAGAAGATCCTTCAGTGGATCATAGAAGGAGAGAAGGAGATCAGCAGGCATAAGAAAACAAACCATGGGTAAGGGCTGGCAGAGCGAGGGGTCTCCACGCTGTTGCACTGCATCTGCTGCACAAGGCTGTCCAGCGGTCTGCCTTGTTCCTTGAGATCTGGGGACGACAGGAATTTGCCAGGCACAAGGTTTTTAGATCCTTTGGTGGTTGAGGATTGCTCTGGGGCTGGAAGGGCAGTTTTTTTCTGAAGGATGACTTTCACTTGTGGCTGTGCTGGGGAGGTTGCAGCCCTGAGGGAATCTCACAACTTGCTGCTGTGGTTCTGAGGTGGGGAGCATGGCACACAGTAGCCAGTATTTTTCCTCGGAGCACTTGCTCTGTGTAAATGCCTGTTACTGCTGCAAGGTGCTGATAGAACAGTTGGACCTGCTGCACTAGCACCATTGGTCCTGAGTAAGCAGTTGAGCACCGCTCAGGGTTGTCCAGTGTTTCAGCTTGCTGGGAGCATCCTCTGGGATGACCTTGCCTGCCTAAAGGGGACCCAAGGACGTGACTGTCTCAGGAATTTCTCTGGAGTTAAGCAGATCTCCTGCAGGCATGGATCCTTAATCACAGTCTGGTCAGGCTCTGGCAAAAACCGGTGCTTGCCAATAATGTCAAGAGGGATCTGGGTCTCGTCCCCACCGAGGCAGCTGCTGAGTTGAGGAAACCGCTGGTTTCTCCTCTTGCCTGACAGTAGAGGCCAGGTTGGGTTATGCTGCAGGCAGCAGGGTCTGCTGTTGGAGCTAGGGAAGGACATCCCTGCTCGGCATCTCCAGGGAAAGCCTGGAGATGCCGAGCAGCAGTTCATGGAGAGGTTCCCAGCCTGGGAACATCAGCAGCATGTGAGAGATCTTCTGGGGGAATGTCACAAATGGTGGAGCTGGTTTTATTTTTGTGTGTTGTGGACTTGATGAGAGTCCCATAAACAGATCCGTGGGCTTTGTGTCAGGGTTGCGTTGGTCACCCTGACATCTCAGGACTTGCTGTCCTGAAATCTCTAGAGCTGGATGGTGCTCCCCTCTCCCTTGGAAGCCATGCTGTAAGGAGCTTCCTGGTGGTGCCTGTGTCCAGCTGCGGAAGCAGGAGGTCCATCTAGGAGTCATGTGTGCCTGCCCAAAGCAGCTCGGCGGCCTGTGTGAAACCTTTGTGCTTGTCTGTAGTTCTTCAGGTGCTAAGAAGCAGCTGTCCCATGACATGGTCCGACCCCTCTCCATCGAGCGACCTGTCGCGGTGCACCCGTGGGTCAGTGCCCAGCTCCGAAACGTCGTCCAGCCTTCTCACCCCTTCATCCAAGATCCTACCATGCCGCCCAATCCAGCCCCCAACCCTCTCACCCAGCTGGAAGAAGCTCGCAGGAGGTTGGAGGAGGAAGAAAAAAGGGCTGGAAAACTCCCCCTTAAACAAAGGTACGGTGATAGGTCCGGTTGTGCTTGGGGGAAGATGGGGGCTGCTCTGCAGGTGAGCAGCTGAGGAAGATGTCCACTGCCCCCCACTCTGGTCTCCAGCACTAGCTGGGAGGGGGTATATGCAGAGAGGTCAGAGAAGTCTGCCCCAGTCCCCCTAACGTGGTGGTGCCAATGCCAGACCCCGGCCGGGGGGCTTGGGCTTGTGGTTTGTGGGCCTTAGCACTGGAATTGCTCTTGGAATTGCTCTTGGGAGGGTGGGAAAGGGGCTGCTGAGAGCTTGAGGAGGAGCTGGGCAGGGGGAGTGTGTCTAGAAAGGGCACGGTTTGGGAGAGCTCTCTCCCCCAGTATTCACTGACTCGCGAGAATTTCAGAGGTTGGTGCAGAAGCAGAATTCAGGTGGATGCAGCAAAATTAAGTACAGAAGAAGGATATGTGTTTGCTCTTTATCCACATCTCCCACAGGCTTCCAGCAAAGGCTGCCAGCAGAGTCTGGATGGGAGCACTGGTGCTGTGGCAGCACTGGCACTGCACGGCCCTGTCCAAGTCACTGCACCCTTTTGTGGCTCAGCTTGCAGCCTGATGCAGAGCTCATTTTTCCTGCTCCCGTGGGTATCTTTCAGGGAAGATTATTTGCCAGGCACGTGGCACTCAGGTGAAAAGTGTTTTGGAAGTGCTACATAATTACTGTTAACAGCTAAAAGCACTTTGTCCATTAAAAACTTTCACAGTGTTAGAGCTGTATTCTGAAAACGTGAAGCTTTGGCTCTGACTCTTAGAAACACAGATACCACGTAAAAAAGCCTTTTCATTGCCGAGCCCCAGTTATTTTTGCTTGCAGTGACCATGTAGCAGACTTCTACGTATTTATGTCAGAGCACTGATTGAAAGCCAGGTAATTAGAGGGCTCTCCCAAGTCAGGCTAAGCCAAGGTTATTTGATCCACCTCTCACTTGGTGTAATTGGATGGTGTTTATTAGTAGAGTCGTTTATAGTCGTACTAAATTGACGCAACTTCCCCAGAAAGGTTTAGATGCAGACACACACTTTCGAAACCCCGACCTGGGCTGTATGAATATGCAATTAATATTCTGATAATCATTTGGCATGTATCGTACATGTGGTTTTTGTAGGAACCCCGTGGCATTGTGGCAGATGCCGTGTAGAGCAGTGGGAGGACGGGCTGAGCAGTCCCAACACTGGGCTGCTCCACTTACGCTGCCTCCCCATGAAATCCCGCTCTTCTCCCAGTGTGCAGGGATCCCCCCGACCTGCCCCATGTGTGAAAAACCGAGGAGCCACGTTCACCAACAGGGAACGACTCCTGGAAAGCACAGTGTGCCCGTATCCAGTGGGAGGCAAGAATGGAGGCCGCGGTCCCCAGGCAGCCAGGGTTTTCTGGGTGTTGAAATCTCTCTGCTGGATTTTGGCAGGATTGGGTGCTCAGGGTGAAGCACACTGAGCCATCGGTGGAACTGGATGGTCTTTAAGGTCCCTTCCAACCCAAACCATTCTGTGATTCTATGAAAGGAGGCCTCTGCAGCGTCTGTACTGGCAGTCATAAATAATGTTCCAGAAATCACACTCCTGTTGCAGAACAAGCCTTTCTCTCCCTGTTCCGCAGCATTTGGAGCGATGCTGATCTCTGAGATAGCTACGTGGCTGCTGCTAGGAAGTAGTGCAGCATTAAGTGTCCGGTACTGTGTGACCTGCAGATCTGTGTGCCCAGCGTTTGTGTCCCAGTCACCATCAGTTTTCTTGGTTTCGAGCCACCTTCTGTAGCTCAGTGTCACAGTTCAGTTATCTTTGCAGCTGGATGAAGTAACTACTACCAGCTCTTCAGATTTTTGCAAGCAGAGAGCACGTCAGCATGCGCTTGGTTTGGAATTAACTGGGTTCAGCCAAGCCTGGCCCCTGGGACACCTGCTGAGGTGACATCCGGGTGCATCCGAGGCTTTCCAAAGCCCTCCAGCCCCAGGGCTGAGTTGGAGCGAGCTGGGCATCTCAGCCCTGCGTCGCAGTGAGGTTGGGTTTGTGCTCTAACCCACGCTTCGTTTCCTTGTCGCGGCACGGCTGGGTTACACGGCTGAAAAACCGGGAGGGGTAGCGGAGCGCGGGTGTTGGATGAGTGCTGCCGTTCCCTTACGGGGTAACGTGTGCGGGTGACAAAGGGAGCTGATCCAGGAGGGGCAGGGTGGTGGTACCTGCCTGTCCCTGGGTCACGCAGCCGCCCGGGAGATGGGGGCAGGTGGAAGCTGTAATGAGGCAGAGCTCTGACAGGGTCTGTGGGCCTGTTGGGGTAAGCCGAGGTCTCGGGAGATCTCTTGGCAATGACGGAAGCGCACAGAGTTGTCTTGTCTTGCTCTCCCAAGAGAAACCCTTGGGAAATTACATTTTCAGTGATTCATTATTCTTCAGCCTGCCTTCAGCTGCCGGAGATCGGTGGCTGCGGTTCGGGATACGTGTGTGTCCTGCTCCTGGCCGACTGGTCCCACTGCACAGCCTTGTTCGGCCCCAGGATCCACCCCTGCTTTGATTTACGGCGCAAGCAGGTGGGCAAAGCCACGAGGGTTGTTCTTCACTCCAGCTCTGCCGAGCGGTGCAGTTTCTACGTTCAGGCATTGTTTCAGGCATCGTTTTCCGGCACATCTCTGCTCTGGAAAGAGCTGAGCACTGGAGCCGGGCTGAGCACGTTCAGAAACAGCCTTTCAGGGCTGAATTACACGGCAGGAGGAGGAGGATGAGGGCTCCCAGCCACCAGCATGGTCCCCCTCTTGCTGCTGCCACAGCAGAGCTCCTCGGGCCCTCTCCTCGCCGTCTCCCCAGGGGAAGGAGCGCTGCAGCCCCCGGGGGGAACCAGCCCTGCCGCCTGCGCAGGGTGCGGAGCTCTGTCCCCAGGTCCCCGGGCAGCTCTCAGTCACGACTCGTTTCTAGCAGGATTAAGAGAAGCTTAGGGACTTTGAGGTTTTCCAAACCCCTTCAATTAACTTCTGGCTCACAGGGTTCACGGAATTTGCCTGAATTTATGACCCATTTTTCCTTTAAATGCCTCTTTCTTTTCTTTTCCAAGGATGATTCAATTCCTTAATGTTTTTCTAGCTAAAGGGCATCCTGTGCTTTGATACGGCAGTGGGAGAGGCTCCGAGAGCTCTGCTGGCACCAGGAGCGGGCCCTTGCCGCTCAGGATGCTGCGTCTTCTCCAGAGGTCTCCCAGGCAGAGCAGGCACCAGGAGGGTTTGTTCACTTGAACTTCAGACCTCTCTTGCCTTTAGGAAGAGGTGAAAAGACTGTGTCTGGTCTCTGCAAGGCCGACGTCTACGTGGGCGTGCCGTTAGGAAGGTGCTCTGCCCGCGAGCCAGCGTTTAAAGGTTAGGGTCGGAGTCATTTCCAAAACTGCGATTACCTCATGTGCTTGGCAAATTCTGGGATTTAGAGCAACTTTCCAGTCGTGTAAATACAGAATCATCCTTTTTATCCAGCGCGCTTTTTAAGTACGTTTTTTAAGCTGCCAAATTTGTTTTATGTGACTTTGAAAGAGAAGACTGCCTCTGGCTTAGACCACATATGCCAAGTTACCAGTTTGTGTAGGCTGCTGCAATGTTTGCGCAGCATTTACGGCACCCCAGATGAAAGGCTCTACAGAAGGGCAAAATACCCTGATTTTTATTATTGCTATGTTTGTCTACCTCTGAAAATGGGGCTGACGCTTTCGGTTAGTGATGGCACCACGTAGCAGAGCCCTGGTGTGTGGGCTGGAAGGAGAGACCAGTCCAACATCCCGAGAGTGAGGAAAACACAGGACATTTAAAGTCACTGAGGTTTTGGGGATAGCGGCTGCCTTGCCACCCTGCACGGACAGGATGGGCAGCAAAGCCTCCGGGGCATGTCCCACTGGGAGCTCCATCCTCTCCAGCCTCCGTCTGTGCCGGGAGAGGTGCCCAGGGGAGCAGGAGCGGTCCTGTCTGCGCAGCCCTGCAGATGTAGGTCAGCGGAAAGCTGTGCTGAGCTATTTTGGCCACGACAGCAATAATCCAGAGCAGTCTGAGCAGGGTTGGTGTGATCGTCCCCAAGCGCTCATCCAGCCCTGCGTGCTCGGTGCGCACCGGGAGCGCGCTCGTGGTGACCGGGGTCTGCTGCCGTGGGCTTGGGCCGCTCTGCCTTGCCTGGAGCTTACCCCTGAGCCAGCGATGGTCCGGAACGGGTTTCTTCAGCACGAAGGGGCTGAGCTGGAACCTGTGCCCTCCTTGTAGCTGCCATCTGGCCCCATCCAGCCTTTCCAAGCGGAAAGGGAGAGAGCTGGTGGCTGGGGCCAAGGATGGGCCGCAGTCAGGAGCTGTCGGGCCCGCCCGTGCGGGCCGGTGGGCTGATGCTCAGCAGGTCGCTTGTCTTTGTGCACGGCAGGTTGAAGCCCCAGAAGAGACTGGGCAGCGGCGCGTCCCAGCCCTGCGAGAACATCGTGGTCGCTTACTACTTCTGCGGAGAGCCGATCCCCTACCGCCCCCTCGTCAAAGGGCGCGTGGTGACGCTGGGACAGTTCAAGGAGCTGCTGACCAAGAAAGGGAACTACAGGTAAGGGCT